CCAATTCTGGAGATCCCACGTTGATTTCTATACAGAGTTGTAGTACTTTGAGAGTACTTTCTAACGATAAGGTCCGGCGCCTCAGGCGAATCGTATCTTGGGAGATAATCTATTCCGAAAATCGACATTTTTATCAAAATGCCATTTTTTGAAGCCTTGTTCCAGCCGAACGGATCAATCAAATTGGCTGAAATTTTCAGGGCATGTAGACATTTGAATGTTCTATCCACAGTAAAACTTTTAGACCTCTCCCTCATCCCTATCATTAGTTATGAAGGACCAAACTTACAAAAAAAATTCTATTTTCCGTATTTTTGATGACTCATAATTATCGAATTGTCCCATATTTTGGGACAAAAATTTTATCACAAATAGAACTCACTTAGTTGTACTTGCACACAAAATTTGGCCTTAATCCATAACGGTATTATTGAGATATGGTTACATTTAGACCCCCCTTGGAGAAAGTAGCATTTTTGGGACTTTTCGTAAAACCTTCATAAAAAATGAACGGTTCGATATTTTTTCAAAAATCTTTCACAGATATTCTTAGAACTCTTATCTCTACAACATATCAAAAAATGAGCCAGATCTGACGACATCGATGGAACAGGTTCGGTCGTGGCTTACGTGGACTGACTCTTAAATAAAGATTTATTTTTCGTTGAAGTGGTTCATCATCATCCTGTGCTCCAATAGTTCTTTGTTGTTCTATGGGTGTTCGTACACCATATAAAACAGTTAATTTTGAACGATCAAATAATCAATCTGATGATTTTATTATATTTTTAAAACATAAACGTATGGTTATTGATATTGATGGTGTAAGTTAAAGATTCAAATGCTCGTCTTCTTCAATTTCTTCAAAAGAAAAATAATAGTTTTGAACAATTTAATCAACATTTTCGTCTTCATCCATATGTTGATCGTACAAATAATCAACAACCGATTATTACCATTCCTGCTGAATTCTTTCGATAAAGAAAGAAAAAAAAACAATATTATTCGAATAGAAAAAGACAGTCAAGAATATGTATGATGTTTGTTTGTTTGTTTTCATTTTTTTTTTTTTTGTAGAAAATGTGTCAGATAATGATTATTTTAAATTCCTGGTGACTCTTTATATAGATATATATTTATTTCTATTTAAAGATTTTTGAAAATATATATAGTCAAGAATGAAAACAAAACTACGAAAGTTATTTATTTAAAAAAAAGCGAGAAAAAAGTTTATTATTGAACTATAGGGAAAAAAAGAAAAATTACTTTTCTTTTTTTTTTTTTTTTGTTTAAATTATTGTTTTGATGATGGTTCAGCTTGTTTAGTCTTTTTAACAACAAAAGCATCATCAGTTTTTATTTTGACTTCTTTCGTATCGGATTTTTGTTCTGATTGTTGTTGTTTATCGGTAGCAGGAAGAAATTCCGAGGAATATTTATGTAAATGGTAAACTACCTTTTGTTTGTTGTTTAACAGATGATGATCAAGATGGTTGTTTGGTAGTAGTGAGATGTACTCATCGAATTGTCTCATCACTTGTAGTTGATGAGCTTGATGATGATGATGATGGTGATGTTAAAGATTGTGCTGATTTAGCTGATCCTTTTTTTGATGAACTTGTTTTTTGATCATAATTTAATGCAGCTGATTCTTGATTTTGTTGTTTTGAATGATGATGATGACGATGATGATGACCAAATAATCGACTTCAACTTAAATTACCCATATGAGAATCAAACGATGAGGAATTATAAACATTTCAATGTGCTTCCCAACGATCTTTTTTCCCATGACGTTTTTTTTTTCTTTGATTTATTATTGTAATCATTATATGGAACTATTGGATAATTATAATTTTGACCATAACCTTGTGAATAATAATTTGAATAAGGTACAAGAACATTTTGTTGTTGATTATCCTGGTATTGACCTATTTGTGGTTGATATAATTGACCATAATATGATGGTTGTTAAGAAAACATTGTTGCACCATCACCATATGCATAATTCATCATTAATTGTGAAAACATTTGTTGTGCCTGCTGCATAGGAATTGTTACAATAAAACAATTTGTTGGTAATGGACCACTAGTCAGTATTGGTTGGATGATTTGTATCATCGCAGTTTGAATATTTGGTGAAATTGAAATTGGATAATTCATATTTAATTATTCAAGGAAATAAACTATAGAAGAAGAAGAAGAAAAGAATAGTTCGTTTGTGGTTACTTAAACGGATAGAGATAGATGTATTTTTTATAGTGACTTTCTTTCCTTCTTTTTTCTATTTAAGTTGTTTTATTAATTACTCAAACTGCTTACTGGATATAGACATGTCTTTTACCTTGTAGGTAGATATGGGCAACATGGTCCCGGTCCCGGCGGGACTGGGACCGGGACCGGGACTAATTTTTATTTTTTGACCGGGACTAGCACCGGGACCGGGACCAATTTTTTTTTTGGACCGGGACCAGGATCGGGACCGGGACCAATGTTTTTTTGGACCGGGACCAGGATCGGAACCGGGACCAACTTTTTTTTTTTTTTGACAAAAACCAGAGTTTTTTTTTATTTAAAAACAAGAATGAGCCTTCAAGACGGAGGATATTGAAGACCATTTGGATCATGCAAGATGTCTCAAGTTTATTGGCATTGCTAGAAAATCATATCCTATTTTGCGTTAGTATTTGTATTGATTAACTGTGAAGCCAAGACTAAAAATTTTTTTCGGACACAGACAGGAACCAGATTGTTTTTTGACTGAGGTTAGGACCAAAACTTTTTTCTGACCAGCGTCGAGATTGGGACCAGAACCGGGACCGGGACCAGAACCTGGACTGGGACCAGAACCGGGACCGGGACCAGAACCGGGACTGGGACCAGAACCGGGACCGAGACCGGGACCAAACTTTTTTGGATCGGGACCGGGACCAAAATTTATTTTCAGACCGGGACCAGGATCGGGACCGGGACCACTTTTTTTTTTTCGACCGGGACCGGGACTGGGACCGGGACCACTTTTCTTTTCGGACCGGGACCGAGACCGGGACCGGGACCAAAAATCATTGGTCCCGCTCATCTCTACTTGTAGGAATTTATCTTAAAAATACATTATTATCACAAGGTTCTGATTGAATCTCTTACTGTTGAATAAAAGTGATTTACATGGAAATCTCCTTGAGTGATGAAAAATAAGAATGAATGATTACACTAATGAAAATCTATAAGAATTCATTGAAAAAAAATAATAATAATTCTTTGTATAATATAAATCAATTATGACCTGTGTATATCGAGAAAAGAAAGCAACCTTTATTGTGCATACCAATCAAATGCTTGTGGAACTTATTTTGTCAATTAAATTTCTTAAAAACCTTTCTCTATTCAATTTACTGCAAGTCACGCCTCACTAGACTCGATCAGACACATCAACACGTACTACCTTGATTTTTTATTTTTTATTTTCTTTTCTTATCTCATATACATGGGTTACAAGTTTACATTAGCAATGCGACCAAGTAATTACCCTTCTGCCTTTTTTTACGTTATACTAGTCTTTCAATAATTATTATCTATAGTAACATGAAAAATGCAAAAATCTAACTAAAAGTCTTATAATGTAAGATTTATGGATTTTAAATCAAGGTAGAAAAATGACCTTGTCATCAATAGAGAACTATCAATTGTGTATGGTATGTATCTTGATGATAGAAAAATATGTCATTTACATTAAATATGACATAAATGCAATAAGAAATAGAATTTTATCGGATATATTTTCAATAGTCAATTTAGAATATTTGTACTACAACAGTAAAATGATGAATTTGAATCATTTAAGCGTTTCTTTATATGATTGAATCTGTACAATTAATTAAGAATTTTTTCAATGAAACAGAATAGTTCAATCTATAGTTTAACCAAAACAAAATTCGTTTGTCGGCGACATCTGTTCCTGTTTTTTCGTAAGTCAAATTGACAACTAATGAACGTTTTTTATATTCTGCATGCATATGCGTTTTCTCTTTTAATAATTGTTAATCATTGATGTCATCAATATAGGAAAGGGATTTTGAAAGATTTTTATTTTATTTCATATAAGAAGAGCTGGTAATATTAGCAGTATATTCAACAGATACTGGTGAAAGGATCGAATTAAATTATAAAAGTTCTTTGTTTTGATATAATCTCGGATTCATCGATACTGTTATTTTGAGAATCGGATAAAACAAAATAAGAATAGATGCTGGCCGATTTGATATTTTTCAAACAAATTAGTTGGCGTTTTCCTTGACAGTCATTGACAACTAAAAGATAAACTCATAGTAAAAAAAAAAACCATTGTGATACTGAGGAAATATAAGAGAAAGGGTTCATTAAGACTAAAGTTAAGCATCATTTTGACTGAAATGAATAAGTCTTTTGCTATTTTTGTAAAAACGAAATTGAAGTTTTATTGTTTTTTTTTTTTTTGTATTTTACAGGAATGATTTGATTTGTGATTATAAGATAATAGAACAACTCTTTTCTTCATCTTCCGTCAAGTGTTTCTATTCTTTTTAGAAGATCGTGTCAAAGAAAATGGTGAGGAAGAGAGAGAGAAAGACAGACACAGATCTTTGTTGCCTATGTATGACTGCCATTTGCATCGTTGTCGTTGCTCATTCTTATAATTTTTATCGTTGAGATCGATAAGAGAATCGTGACATTTTTTTTTTTGTCAAAAAAAAAGCGAGTAATGGTTCATCATCAATCTGATATTTTTCGCTCAATCTGTCGTATTGTATTATTATAAAAAACTTTTTACTGTATATTCTTTTGTCTCTTTTTGTAATCTCGTATTTATATTTACTTTGTTATTCATGTAAAAAAACGAACTATTCATTTCTTGATCAAGGTCGATTTTTTATTTAATTCTCAAGATACTAATGGTCACAAACATTAGTTCGATCTCAGTATTTTTCATGTTCATCTTTTATTTTTCTGCTTTCTATGGCTTTCTCTTGACTAATATTATAACTATTTCTAAACAATAACTATTGACATGCTTCATCCTACGTTCAACAGTTCTTTAGCATGCAAGCACACGACAGGAAACGAGATGGATTCTGATGAATCTTTTATATTTCGGAGGAGAAATCTCTTTTGCTATGCACTACCATTGTTGTCCTTCATTATTTTTTTTCTTTTCCTCGATTCTCTATAAAAGCTCGTATATATTTTTTGTGCAGATTCCAATGACTTCTAGACATCATATATATATATATATATATATATTCATATTTCTAAAAGGAAAGTGTCGTTTTCGGTAAACAATTAGACTATTGTATTATGTTGTGTTGGGAAAAGAATTGAATCATCATATGAATCAGAATGTTTGGATGATGTAGCGTGATGTTGATTATAATCTGAATAGAAAAGAAAAACAAAAAAAAAAAAAAAAAAATATATATATATATATATATAATCAACTTTTCACTTGACTAGAAACGTTGTCAATCCTACACATCACTATGGGATTCTTTTCTTTTCTCTTTTGTAGTTTTAGATAAATTTATTTGATCGTAATGAGAAACGATTGGTAACGATGATGAACTATCTGAAACGACGTTTCTCCTCCGAAGATCTTCAAAATGAACGTGATGATAATGTGATGACAATGGCAACATCACCTGAATCTCATGTGAATATAACGACATCATAAGCCAATGTAACTTGTCAATCATCATGGGAAAGAAAATCATCAACATACACAAGTGCACCAAGTTCTTCTATTTAAAGTTTATCATTTGCTAATCAATTTATGAATGTTGCACGTGAAGTTATTAATCAAGCGATTCAACAAATTCCACATCAACAAACAGGGACTGGATTATCATCATCATTCTCTTCTTCTCATCATCATCATCAACACCATTCTCAATCAATGCAAGCTAAAGATCATCATCAACAATAACACCAAACATCGAAAAAAAAATTCAAATTATTATTAGTTATTGATGATCAACATACTGATTGGTAAATATCATCATTATGTTCTTTCTAACTAATCGAAATTCTCATAAGAGTAAATACTTCAAAGGCAAAAAAATATTTGCCGATTATGATATTTGTGTTGAACAGGTCTTTTACATCTAAATCTTGTTTATATATCTATATTATGTGTTGTAAAAATAGAGAAAACCTTTTGCTTGCGTAACATATGCTTTTATCAAAATATTTCGATTCCCCTTTCTTTTTTTTTTCGTCAATCCAATTCAATTAATGGTGATAATAAGTGTCATTAGCTCTGACATTGTGACTATTGCCTATATATAGAAACGTTATATTTTATTAAAGAAAAAAAATTACTATAATATTATATTAATTTTCTTTTTGTTTTTTTGCGTAGGCGGAATTTAAAGATATTAATTTGGCCGCTTATTCGGATGCTGGGACTTTAGTTGATATAAATATTTATCAAAATGGAACGCATGTTGTTCGGTATGAATAAATAATGAGATTTATATTAAGATTTGGTTTTTTTTTTTTTTAAATAAAAAGCTCATTTCGACCGGATTTTATACTTGTTCGACAGTATGTAAGAGATATTAATATTGATTCGACAAATATTATTCTTGGAATAGAATATGGAGCTGTACCAAGTGTTAATTCAATGAAAGCATTGTATAATTTTCGAGATAAATCATGGATTGTAAGATTTCAATTTTTATTTTAATTCAATTTTTAGATGCGTTTTTTTTATTTGTATAGTTTTCAGAATTATTGAATATTCAACGAGGTTTAGGTGTCGATCAATTTCCATTAATCAGTCAAGCTTATTATTCAAATCATCGAGAAATGGTGAGTAATCTATGGATGAGTATCGTAAAGATATTCTCTAATTTTGATTTGAGAATTTTTCTCGTTGATATATAAAATTTGTTTTTTTTAAATTTCAGCTTATTTCACCTCAATTTCCATCTATAATTAAAGTTGGACAAGCTCATCAAGGTTTAGAAAAAGTAAATTTTTTTTTTTTTTAGAAAAATTTCTCATTTTTCTTATGAAAACTTCTTTATTTTCTTAAGATTAAAGTTGAAAATTCATATGATTTTCAAGATTTAACAAGTGTTGTTGCAATAAGTAATTGTTATTCAACCGTTGAACCATATATTGATGGACGCTGTGATGTTTATATAGAAAAAATTGGACAATATTATAAAGCATTTATATGAGTTATATTGAAAAAAAAGACTAATAATTTTGATCTTAAACTAATAAAATAAATAGACGTTTTCTATTATTATTCACATAAATAAATAGACCACTTATAATGTTGTTCAATGTTTGCACTTCATTACGAGAGTGTTTCTAAGAAATCTTTTTATATATATATATATATATATATATATATGATTTTCTAATGTTTGAGATGTTTTTTAAATCATATAATATTTTAATTATTTGTATATATTTAGTCGAAAATCATTAACTGGTAATTGAAAAGCTAATAGAGGTTCAGCAATGCTTGAACAAATTGAAATGACTGATCGGTAGAAATAATTTAATTAGCTTTTTTTTATTTAAAACATTTTTTTTTATTATTAAATATATCGTTTATGGATTGATGAAGTGAGTCAATTATTTGGTGGACTTGATATATGTGCTGTTGAAATAGTTCAATCAAAACAATGGAAAAGAATTTATTGTAGAGGTTAAAATGAAAAAAAATAAATTAGCATTATTTTTTTGTTATTTTAATTAATTCTTTAGATTAATGATTGTTGTATGCAATTATTAGATGAAACATAAGATGAAGATCGTCGTTGTATTGGTGAACTTGTGATGCATAAAATGCAAATCTATTGTCGACCAGATAAACAACCAGCTATAATGCCGTAAGAAAAATTTTTTGAATTAAAAAAAAAAAACATTCAATTGTATTTTTTTTTTTTTATATTAAAGACGAATTCCCAGTGTTGAACAACCTATTCATGAAATATCTAAAGTAACAAAACCTTCATCATCGATTCATGATTCAGTTCCACATTCAACAATGAATATGCATAATATATCACCATCAACAACGCATAATTTTAATAATAATAATAATAATAATCGTCGAGAATTACCAAATCTTCCACGAAATGCAATGAATATTGATAATAAAACATCACCAACTGTTAGTTAAAATCCATTTTATAATCGTTCAACGAGTAGTAATACGAATAGTATAAGTACATCTCGTTCAACACCATCACAATGGATGGGAAATATTGGACAAACTCTTCGTAGACAAACATCAAATACTGTTGATGTAAAAAAATAAATAAATTATTTTTTTATTTTTAATTGTTGTTGTTACTGGTAATGAAGATGAACCTGAAGATACACTTGCAAATTTAAAACAAAAAAATATTTGCTGGAATTTTTGGCGATATGTAAGCTGGATATTGATTGAATTTTATTTCATTTAATTAAATTCTCTTTATTTTATTTATAGGATGTCTTGACATGTATATAAATACTGAATAGTCAATAGTTTTCTTCCAAAAATTTAAAATCTCTTTCATTTAATGTACCTTCTTCTTCTTTTTTTTTGTTTTGTGTTTATGTATCAATGTGCCCCAATTACTGGTACTATGCCAAACTAGACAAATATTTATATATTTCTTGATAAAACTTATATTGATAAAAAAAAAAAAAAACGAAATAAATAATGACAATGGTCTTATCTTCTTTCATTATTTTAGCAAGAAATCTCAATGAGATATCTTGAAAACTTTTTTTTACATAGGAGAGATTATAATCAATGAAATATTTTATGGATACATTAGATTGATCATCATTGACGAGTTTAATACAAAACGCTGCATTGTTTTTTTCTTCTGCCTAAACAAATTCTTTTTTCTGAATTCATGGTTATTGTTTTGTTTAGAAAATATCCTATGTCTAACGAAGATATTTTATGTTTATGATAATAAGAGAATAAAGAGCGAATACAAGTGTCGAAGAGAAAGCGAATATATATCGTCGTTCTGCTCAGAGAAACAATCTAGGCTATATTCGATGCATTATGAATCATTTTTTTTTCTTCTTTTTTTTTTCTCCGTCTGTTCGTCACCGTTATATAGGCATTGAGCCACACTATTTGGTCATACATACTAAATGGTGATAAAGAAAGGCGTAACATATTTGCAATGTAAGTGATTTATTGTGATGAATTCGCTGATTTGAATAGTTTATTTCATACTATTTCTATTTATAGTTTAACAATCGTAATTAGTGATTATTAAAAATGGCCACAACAACTTTGGATATTGCAGTCTGTCTTGACTGTTCATCATCAATAACATCCTATTTTAATTCGATTCGTTCAAGTATTCTTTCAATTCTTCGTCAAAGTTTAGTATGTCATCGAGGTCTTATTCGTATGGGATTGATCGAATTCCGATCACATACCAATTATTGGATGAAACATATGCATTTATTTACTTCATTGTTTGAAACATTTCAAAAATGGCTGAATGATATTGAAATTGAAGAAGGAAATTCAGATGAACGTAAAGCAGTTGGTAAAAAAATATCAAAGCAAAAATAATCATGTTTTATAAAACTTTTCTTTTTAATATATTAGTCGATGTACTTGGTGCATGCTTGACATTTGATTGGCGTCCTAATGTAAGTAAAATTGATTCTTGTCTTCATTAAGTTTATGAGTCTTTTCTTTTCATAAAGAATAATGTCAAACAATTTCATGAAAAACTTGTAATTCTGATTACTGATGGTCCTCCTTGTGATCTTCTTAACCTGATGAATCCCGCTTGTCTTCAATTGAAGACAAGCAGAACGAAAGAATTTTTTTTTCGTTCTGTCGTGTCAATAACATATGTTTGGTGAGGAGAAAATGAATCGAGGATAGGTCATATGTGCAACTAGTTGAACGATTTGTATATATAACATCGTCATCACTACACAGCAAAAATACTTTCATCTGCCAAAAATCAAACAGAGTGAGATCTTTACCTATATTCTTCACTATCATAAATTCTTTTTCATTATACAAAGCTTCATCGTTTTTTTCAACAGTGTCATAAGGATAGACGGTATCGTCATCACTAGAGAGTAAATCTTGCTTTAGTCTATTAGTGTTAAATAGAATCAAATTATTACCTGTACTCTTCACTCTCGTAATGAAGATTCGTATTTTTTAATTGTTTCTCCACATCATCAATTTCTGAATCTGATAAAGCCACCATAGATTTTTCCTCGTATTCACTATCGCTGCTGTCGTCGAAAACGTCACGCTTCTCCATTGTAAATTTTGAATATAGTGATTTCTTACAAATATTCTGTCTCTTTCATCAGATTTTCTCTTGTTCAAGGTACACATAGTTTCTATTTCTTTCGTGCCGTATCAAGAACACACTATAAAGGCATTACGAGTCCATGTTTTATAATCGATAATCTGTGACATATACATACAGCTGATTGAACGCCACAGAACGCAAGAGAGAGTGATTTTTTTATTTTTATCCATATTATACAGAACGCAAGAAATTATCGGGATTCATGAGGTTAATGGTAAATGTTCAACTCATGGTAATGATCTTTGGAAAATATCTGATCAATTTGAAAAACAAGATATTATATTAGTTGTTGTTGGTATTGAACCAAGTGTTGTTGTTTATGCTGATTTTTATTGTGCATTAGCTCACAAAACAGGTACAAAAGATTTTTCTTTTACTTTTTAAAAGCAACTCGTTGTAATATTTTAGGTGGTGAATATCTTCCAATGATCAATGCCGCACGTATTCTTTCATCTATTATTTTAAACGTTTTATTTAAAGAAGACACATTATGTCAATTATTTCGTCATATTAACGTTGAATCTGATCTTCAACATAATTGTTTATATAACTATACATCTGGTGAACAACATGTAAGTTTCATGATCGAACATTGTTCGACAATGTTCGATATTCGGCAATATTTTCAACAAATGTTAGACAGACGAAAACGTATGGTTACAGATGATGATGAATCTGATAGTACCACGTATATTGATGATGTTCAATATGCTCCATCAGATAAAACAGTTCATCTGAAAAACGATTGGCAATCATGCTTGAACCAGGTCACAAAAAAATAAATAAACTTTTACATCTTTTTTTTTCTCTTTTTCTGTAGTAGATTTTTTTTTTGTGATGCTCAATATTTTTTTTTGTGGTGCTATAGTTTTTGTGGTGCTCAATATTTTTTTTTTTGTGGTGCTATAGTTTTTGTGGTGCTCTATAGTTTTATTTTGTGGTGCTCTATAGTTTTTTTTTGTGGTGCTCTATAGTTTTTTTTTGTGGTGCTATAGTTTTTGTGGTGCTCAATATTTTTCTTTTTGTGGTGCTATAGTTTTTGTGATGCTCAATATTTTTCTTTTTGTGGTGCTATAGTTTTTGTGATGCTCAATATTTTTCTTTTTGTGGTGCTATAGTTTTTGTGGTGCTCTATAGTTTTATTTTGTGGTGCTCTATAGTTTTTTTTTTGTCGTGCTCTATAGTTTTTTTTTGTCTTTAGTCCTTATTTTTTTGTGAAGTTTTTCTTATCTTGTATACATAAAGGATGTAATATGCAAACAATAATTTAAAGCTAAAGAAAAAATTCTTGAAAAATTGTAAATCCGATGGTTTTAGTTTCTAGAAAGAGAAAGCATAATATATTATATTCTTTTCCTATAAAAGATCAAACAACATGGTTTCCTTTATATTTTAAATTCTATTCAAATAATAAATAACAGTAATCACAAGATTTCTGCATGAGCAAAATAGTCCTTTATATTTTGAGATAATTCAGGTTCATTAGATAAAATCAAACGATTGATTTTGAAACAATTCACTCGTATAGCATCATTGGTAAAATTGTTCATTGTTCTTTGTAATGTATTATAATCCACACGAAGACAAATGTTACTTAATAAACACGTTTTAGTATTGTTCAAAAATTGTTCCAGATAATTTTCATGACTTCCAAGAAGATCAACTTGAACAAGATGAGAATATTCTATGATTGACCATTGTTGATTGTTATTCTTTTGGGGTTCTTGATTATGTACATGTAATGTTCTCATCAATGGAAATGATTTAGCAATTTGAAGAAAAAATTCATGTTCGAAAGGATGTTCATCAACTAATGAGATTTCCATAACAGATTGAAATAATCCACCACGAAAATTATTTGTTATCTTATGATAATCTGTCCATATATATGGATATGAATAAACATGACAATGAAACTCATTTCCTTTTGGAAAATAATCAATTGATGAAATAATTTCATTGCTTTGAAAATTTTTAAATGTTTTTTGAATATCATCATTTGATGGTAAATAAACTTGATTATTGAGAGGAATAATTGAACGAATATTAAATTTAAATATCTTTAATTTTGTCATATAATTCATAATATTCATTTCTAAATCATTACCATCTATAATTAATGTATTATGATTGACAAAACATAAACTAAGTTCTTCTAAGTTTAACATTCGATGTAAAAGTGGAATAAGAAAATTATTGTAGCTCAATAACACTGATTTCAGAATTAACACAAAGCATTTTAAATTGGGAAGTTTTTTCTACAAAACAAAATGACAATTAATCAATGTAAACATTATTCATTCATTGCCTTTGATTTATCGCTAACTTACTTCATTATTGACCATTGGTAACGCAGAAACATTAGATGAACAAATGGTAACATAGAGTGTACGAAGTCGATTGAATCGCCCATCAAGTAAATAGAGACAATCTTCATAAGAGTCTACAATGACCCATAAGTCTAATAAAGTTGAAGAAACAATATTAGGAGGTGAAACACCAAATTTTAGTAGATGATAATCAGTAGAAGCAGATGGACTGAAATTTAAATGTTGTAACTTTTTGAAAATACTAAAGATTTGTATAAATATAAATATATTTATATCTTCGATTGAATTTGACTCTTGACATTTATTAATACGAATAACAAATGATAAAATTTGACTTTTGAAAGTACGAATTAAATAACTTCCATCTAAAAAAAAATAGATATTTTTCTATGAATCAAAATATTCTATTCACTTTTTCGTATTTATAAATCAATTTTATATGATTTTCATTTAAAGTCTCATAGAGTATCTTTATCATTTATTTTATACTATAGACTTTTTTCTTGATGAATTAAAGGATATTAATTGAAGAGTTTACAAAGTAATAATAAATGTATTCTCTTACAAATCATATCCTTATTTTGAAATCTCTTTGAAACTCATTTTCAACGATCAATATTATCAACCAAAGTATGCAACAAAAACTATCTTTCATAAATCAAATGTTGATTAGATAAAGAGAGATTATTTTGATATTCTTATAGAATTAATTAATAATGGATTTGAAGGAAATAACTTACCAGTAAAAAGATCTCTCGCTGTTTCTGCTGCAAGATAATATAAACCAAGTCCATATAACTTAGGATAATTTGTTAGACGAAGAATACGTTCCATATGTGATGATTTAACATTAATCCATTGGATTTTATGATGAATTTTAGGTAAAATTTGAAAACAAAATCGATCAAGTACCGTATCACTAAATTGTTTTAAATGATTATCAGGTATTTCCAATGACAAACACTCTGTAAAAATTGAATCTTTTACAATTGTGTCAAGTCTTTTATTAACACCAATTAAAGAATAAAGTACATCGAAATTGTCCAATTTTTTAAAAATCATCATAAGAATTTCATCAGGTAAATCATTTAATCGAATAAGTGAATATTCCATGTTTATTTTGATGTATGTTTTTTTTTCCTTCCCATATCGATATATATATACTCATGTCTTTTATTGACCTGACGATGTCGTCAATAAAAAAAATGATATATTTATTCTTCTATAGTCTTTGTTGACAATGAATGAATGAAGGTATGAATGAAAGAATAATTGCTTGAATAATATTTTTTCCTTTCTCTCTTTATTCAACATTGAGTTTCATTGGTCCAGATAAAAGCAATCACTGTTTTCAACATTGAGTTTCGTTGGTCCAGATAAAAGCAATCACTGTTTTTTTATTTTTTATAATGTAAAATGCAAAGCTGTTGTATGTTAAATGTCAAGTAGATAGGTGAAAAGAGGAAGTTCAGTTATTGTTATAGGAATGTTGAGATTTCACCATATCCAAATTTCAGTAACAAAGTGTGTAAATGATATCCAGGTAATCCTATAGCTGGTGGTCCACCTCGTCGGACGGCGATGCATTCTCAGTGAGGATGCGGGCGATGTGGAATACCTGCTATAGGAGTACCAAAAAATCTTTCTTTTATTTCTAAGAGGATTGTTTTTAATCATTTCGTGCATTCTAAACTCAACTGAATTCTCATATCAACTGTGAATTAATTAGAATAGAAATTAATTTTTTTTTTTTGTAAAAAAACCTTCTTCAGTCTTTCGTTTATTATCAATCATCATCTTTCTATTCATTTAGAATAATAACGAACAATAAATATGTTTGTTTTCGACAAGAATTCTGATAAGGGAATGTGTTTTGTTTTTTTATCACAAACAAAAAAACAAAGAAACAAACGTCAAAAACCAACAAAAAGACAAAGCTTTTTTTTTTGTTCTGAAAAAATTAATATGTATGATGTTATTATATATAAAGAAAATAACTTACATCGACAAATGCTTTTTAAAGCAATCATACGATGTTATGCACTGGTTTGTTTTTAATAGAAATGAGAAGAAGAAGAAAAAAAACGATACAAGTTTGGAACTGAAGAACAAAAAAAAGATGAAAGAAATCAATGAATGTATTTAGACAAAAAATAGGTTAAAATTCAACAGGTATAATCCACATTTTACTGTTGTGAATGCCAAGTCGAATTATTATGTGTACGTTGTTGATGATGATAATGATTGCGATTATTATTACCAGCATATGAAGCACCATTTCGATTATCCTTTACAAAGAATAAAAGAAAAACAAAATGTTTTCTCTTATTTAATTAATTTTTACTTACACGATTATCAATTGAAGGATAAGCCATAGTTCGATCATGATGTGAAGTATAATAAGTTGGTACTGTATATAAAACTGAATTTAAATAATATGCTGTTGCTGGACTAGTTGGTGTCAATGAAGCTCCCTGAGGGAATGAAGCTGCATTCGCTGACAATTTACTTGTCATAGGAGTATCTTTTGTTGTTTGAGATGCATTTAATAATTCATTATTTGATAAACGAGTTTGACCATAATGTGCAAAAAAATCTTTATCATATAAAGATCGATCTAAAAGATGAAAAATATATTGTTAAAAAAATTTCAAAAAACAAAAATACCATATTTATTAGATTGAACAGTAGCAGGATGATATGGTTGTTGTGTAGTATACGTTGGCATATAATCTAATAGAAAATACAAAATATTCTATTAACAATCGAATATAATCTTTATTACTTGTTGAATATGTTGAATATGGATCGAATCCAGCAGTTGACCAAGAATCAACTGGTGTTATTAATGGATAAATCTAAATATAATTTTAAATTAGATTTATGAGACAAAATAAAAAAATAATCACAAAGCCCATAGGATCCAAAATTTTCGAACCATACTTTGATACTCTCTATCAAATTTTCTAATTGGAATTGCATAGTCGCCTAGAAGATACGAGATTGTTATATTCGGTGACTAGCATACCCTACACATTTTTCCGACTACTAGAACCCATTGGATCCAAAATTTTTCGGCCCGGACTCGACGAGCCTTTCTGAAGTTTGCAGTCATTGTACCATGTACATAGAACTGTATAAATCATTTATCTCCTTATTGAAATTTCATAAAAGTAAAATAGATTATTCGCTTCCATTATTGAATATTCACAAAGAAAATGTTTAATCTAACGAGGGAATACCACGAACTGATAAATCACTTTTTAAATTTTAGTCATGCCAATTTGTTGAGTTATTAACTGAGATATAATAGTCATTCGTGCCAACAATGTGGCTTTAGAGTAAATTTCTGATAAACAAAGTTTCCATTAACCTGTCCATATCCTATAGTAGTCCTATAGAGACCCTATAGGACCACTGTAGGGAAGCCTATAGAAGCCCCCTATAGCGATCCTATAGGGCCTCTATAGGGCTTCTATAGGACCCAGTAGGCTCTCCTATATGACCCTATAGGACCACTATAGGGTATGGACAGGTTAATGAAAACTTTGTTTATCAGAAATTTACTCTAAAGCCGTATTGTTAGTACGAATGACTATTATATTTCAGTTAACAACTCAACAAGCTCTACAAATTGGGATGACTAAAATTTAAAAAGCGATTTATCAGTTCGTGGTGTTCCCTCATAAGTATCTATACTATGTAAAGAAAAAAAAGCCCAATATTCTTTACTGTAGGTGGATGATAAGGATAAGCTCCAACAAAGAATTGTTGCTGAGGTTGTATTTGATATGATGCTTGTTGAGAATAATTTCCTGGTTGAAGTATTGTTGGTTTTGGAGTCGTTTTATAATTTGATGATTGTTGATTCCAGTTTGATCCGACTTGAGAATAATCTCTTGATATTGATCTATTATAAAATTATAAAATATAAATCTAAATATAATATAAAATTATTACGGATATGTGCCAGGTGTATTATATGGTGTAAAAGCAGATGAACTACCACCGGGACCATTACTTGTATTAGATAAAGATTGTTGAAAAGTATTCGATATAAATGAATTATTATTATTATGAGATGTTGATGTTGGTGGTAAATGTGTTGTATCAGTAAGAGATGATGAAGATGTAGTCGTTTGCTGTTGTTGTTGTTGTTGTTGTTGTAATGAATTAGTTAAATGATCAGATAGATGAGAAGTTCTTTCCGAAGGTATAACAACTGAATTATTTGCCTTAGATAGACAAAAACAAAAAATTGGTTTTCTTTTTTAAATGAAATTATTAATTACTATAGTATTATCCATTATTGGTAATGATGATGATGATATTGAAGATGATGAAAGTCGATTAGTAGTTTCAAGTAAATCTCTATCGATATCATTAGTTGTTGGGTCATTGATATAATTATCTTGAACACTAAAATTTTCAAATTTAAATTAATAGTATTATCGCATATCAACGTGACGCAGACACAGTAGCTAATTTCTATAGAACACATGAGCATGTCTATCAAAGGCATTTTTTTTTGTCATAGAAATATTAATTTTCAGTATTCAACAGAGAAAAAAAATAACATTTTCGATGAAGAAAGACCTTTATCCTAAACTTTTGTCGGAAAAGTTTTTATTTTCAAAATCTCAAATTTTATCAGTTTGTAGGATCTAGAGTTAAAATATTTCGTGTATTGGATGTCCGCCAGCCGAAAAAAGTAGTTCTTACCGAGTTCCCTATTGTTATAAAGCCTTCGGAAAAAATTTTACTAATGAAAACTTATTACTTTGATGCGCCTCTATGAGATGACATATTCTTCCTAAAGCTGGAGGCTTTCAAAGCTTTCTGAAGCTGATTCTATTATTCTGTAACAAATAGAGTCTTTCAATTATACGTCTTAGCTTCATTAGTTTTCAATGAAACTTTGTATGTCGAAGTATTTATCTACCAGATATATTATGTCCAAAGGACCCCGCCGGATAAGAGTCAAAATCTGCCACCTCACAGAATTAAATGAAAGTCATATATTCTGAAAGCCCTTTTTTCGGCGCACATTTTCGTATATTTCTTTTTTTTCCAAGCATGTTGCCAAGGGGGGATTAGTGAATGACTTTGTGGACACCCCCTACATGGGTTATAACGACTTTTATGGATTTTCAGGTATTTAAGAAAACTTGAATTTTCGTTTCAGAAATTGTGCTTCAGAGTTCATCAAATACTACCAGTAGATGCAGCAAAATGTGCTCTACAAAATGGTATAAGTAGCTCAATATCAAGTTGTTCTGATTAGAAGCGATGAGACTCGCAAACATAGGCCTATCTGAAAAAAACTAAGATTTTAGAGCTATTTTTGCTAAATTGCCTGTATGTTTTGAAGTGATATTTTTCTTAATGTCCATTTAGACAGAACGGAGATTATCATAGAAAAAATCCTCGTGATTTGCTGTACAAAATGAGATAAGTTTGAAAAAAATAAAAGCAGCCCCAATATTGAATATTGGATTATTACTTTTGAATATGACGTATTTTCTATAGGAAACGGATCAACACATACTTCGAGAGTCCTTGAAAAGTTTCCTCAAATAAGATAAATCATACCTAGTAAAAATCAGCATACGACCTTCTATTGCCTTCCATAAAAATATCCTTCAAA